GAAGGAAGGAAGGAAGGAAGAAAGAAAGAAGAAAGGAAGGAAGGAAAGAAAGAAAATACAGATGAATATGAAAACAAAAGCAGAAGTTACTATAATATCTACCACTGGGAGATACTCAATGTTATGGTATTAGCGTAATTTGGCATGGAGCCCAATGCGGGGCTCAAACTCAGGACTCTGAGATCAAGACCCAAGCTCGTATCAACAGTCAGACACCCAACTGACTGAGCCACCCAGGCACCTCTTGGTCTTTTTTTATAAATGTGGGATTGTAGTATTTATAGTGTTGTGTTCTGCTTTTATTTCCCAGGAAGAGAGTTATTTTAACTAATTTTAGATTTAGAGAAAAGTTGTGAAATAATGCAAGGAATTCCCTTACAGTCCTCCCCCTGCTTCCCCTCAAACTGACATCTTACATAACCATAGTACGATTGTGAAGAACAGGAAATCAACACTGATACAGTATTATTAACTAAACTACAAACCTTTTTTAAATTTTACCGGTTCTCCCATTACTACCCTCTCCCCCTTCCAGGATCCTATCCAGGATCCCACATTGCATTTGTTACTTTTCTTTCAACTCCTCCAATCTGTAACACTGTGTCAGCCTTTTGTCTTTCATGATCTTGATGCTTTGGGTCAAAATTTAATACTGATCAGTTTTATTTTATTGTCACAATTTGGGTTTGTCTGGTGTGGGGGGGGGTTGTTTGTTTTATGGCTGGAGTGAAGTTATGCATTTCTGGCAAAATATCATGAAAAAATGATGCTGTGTCCTTGGTGCATCTTTTGATGAGTTCATGACGTCAATACATCTTATTACTGGTGATATTTACCTGCTGCACCCCTGGAATAAACCCCTTGTCCTAGGAGCCCTGGTTCCTTTCACTGGAGAATGATGTTTAGACACCAAGATCCAGGCGCCAGGTGTGCTGTTACTGGCTGTCATTGCCTTCAAGCCTAGTCAGGGGACAGTCAGGAAACACACGGACATGTACTAACCCATGCATATACACACGTGGTTCTATTTCCATATCTATATAGAATTTTAAAACCGTGAGTTTATAGTGATGCCTCTGCTTCTAATCCAACACCACAGGGTTTATTCTACCTGTGCCCTTTTATTTATAACTTCTTTCTCTAGAAGAGAATGAACCCCAGCTCTCTTAAACTAGAGTCAACTTATTTGTTCAAGACTATTACTAAAATTCCAGAATTGCTGACCACACCTCCATGAGAAACACATTTAAAACTACAGGACAGCATTTAGGAAGAGTGATTTTTGCCTCTATTCTTCCCACCTCCAGTCAAGACCCTGTTTTCCAGTTCCTTAGGCTACTTCTTTATTTTCTCACGCCTCCAATGTGGCCGTTTTTCACGTGGGATGTTGTCAGGGCCACCTGTTTTTGTTTTCTGTGTTCCACTCCCCCTACATCCTCGTTGATCTTATTTATCGAGGGGGGTAATGTGACACATTCCTATGGTTCTAAGAGTTGGCTACACAAAAAGACACATTCACACAAGAATCATTCCCTTCTCGTCCCTGCAACCCCATCCCATCCTTCCCTCTCTCCAGCCTTTTTTCCCGTCTGTTCAGTTTCTGGGTTATCCTTCCTGCATTTCCTCTGCATCTGTTTATGTTCTTAGGTTTCTCCTTTCTTTTTATATACCCTTTTATATAAAGGGTAGCGTACCATAGATACTCCTTTGGATATTGCTTCTTTTTTCACTCGACGTTGCTTTACATCCTGGAAATCACACCTGTTCAGAGACAGCTTCCTCATTCTTTTTTCTACACCACTGTGTGGCTGTACCATAATTTAGCCACTCTGTTATGTAAGATCCTTAGGTTGTTTCCAATTATTTTGCAGTTAAAACCAATGCTGCAATAAATAACCTGGGGCATAGATATTTTCCTATTGTAGGAAGTATGTATTAGATCCCAGAAGTGGGATTGGTGGTTCGTGATATAAGTGCAGATGTAGTTTGTTAGCTGTTGCCAAACTTCTCTCCAGAAGGGTTGTACAAATGTATACTCCCACCAGTAATGTATGTGAGTACTTTTCTCCCCCACAGCCTCACCAACAGAATGTGTTTGTTGTTTTGGTTTGGTTTGGTTTGCCAGTCTGGTAGGTGAGAAATGGTATGTCACTGTTCTTTTAATTTGCTTAGTCCATTTGGGCTTTTATAACAAAATACCACACACTGGTGACTTAAACACAACTGAAATTTATTTTTCACAGTTCTGGAGGCTGGAAGTCCAATGTGGTGCCAGTATGGCCGGGTTCTGGCAAAGGCTCTTGGCCAGTTTGCAGACTGCTGACTTCTTGCTGTGTCTTCACATAGAAGAGGCATGGGAGCTCTGTGGGGTCCCTTCTATAACAGCACTGAGTCCATTCATGAGGGCTCTACCCTCACGGCCTAATCCCCCTCCTGAAGGTCCTCCTAAATACCATCGCCTTGGGCATTATGTTTTCAACAAGTGCATTTGGGGGGGGCAAATATTCAGACCATAGCATTTGCATTTCTGAGTGAATTTGAGTGTTTTTCACATGTTTACAGACCATTTTTAGATCTTTTTTGTAACTTGTCTTTCACATCTTTTTCTCATTTTTCTATTTGATTTTTGGTCCTTTGTCCTTCATTTTTAAAGAATTCTTCATGGGTAGTTAGGAATATTCACTCTCGGTCTGTTACATAAGTTGCATTTTCTCCCGGTTTCTGGTCTTTTGACTTTGTTCATGATGGGTTTTATCACACATTTTTTTAAATTTTTATTTAGTCAAATTGATTAATCTTTAGTTGCCCCTGGATTTTGAATCATACTTAGGAAGTTTTCCCTAAATCAAGGTACTTGCCTGGTTCCAATTTTTACATTTAGATCCCTAACCACTTGGAGTTTATTCTTGGGTATGGTGTGAGATATGGATCTCTTTATCTTTCCCCAAAGGGTCACTTCGGCACCCTTTGTTAAAAAGTCCATCTTTACCCCAGTGATTGGTGATGACACCTTGTTCATGTACTAAATTTCCACGTGTGCTTAATTAGGTCTATTTCTGGGCTATTCACTCCACTGCTCTGTCTATTCACACAGCAGTACCACACTATTTCGATACTAGAGGTTTTAGAGTATGTTTGAATGTCTGGTAAGGCTGGTCCTCCAACATCGTTTTTCTTTTTCAGTGGTTTCCTGGTTATTCCTGAATGTTCACTTTTCTATATGAACTTTAGGATAACGTGTAGAGTTCCATAAAATAGACTGTGGTATTTCTACTGAGATTGTATTAAATTTGTGATTTAACTTAGGCAGAACTGACATCTTTACGTTGAGTCCTCCTATCCAAGAATGGGATGTCTTTACATTTGTTCAAGTCTTATTTGCTGTCTTTGAGAAGAGTTTTTAGCATATTTTCTTCTATGTTTTTGTATGTATCTTGTTAAATTTATTCCAAAGTACTTAACCTTCTTTGTTACCACTGTAAATGGGATTTTCACTACCATTATGACTGCTGTTTACTGTTTGCATATGCTAATTTTGTATCCTGCTAGGTCACTAAAATGTTATTGTTTGTGTTCGTTTTATCACTGATTCTTTGGGATATATTATGGTGTTAATTCTTTACCCCAGCAGAAGGGAATGCTGAGGGGCTGCTGGTGCCCTCCGGCCTCAGTGTGCATTTTCTCAGGGGTATTTCAGGACGGGGGCAGCTAGGAGGAGCTAAACTACATGCTTCGTGAGTGGAGGGGCTGTGTCTGTCCTGTTCACCAGTGTGCACCTGTCACCCAGCACGGGGCCTGGCACAGAGCTGATGCATGCGAAGTGCTGTCGAAAGACAGGGAGAGAAGAGAGGCCTGCTTACAGATGGCCTGAGGACTCTGGGCTAAGCAAATGGCTGGCGAAGGTGCTGAACGACTAGCTCCCCCATAGCACTGATGAAGAAGCAGGTCTTAAAAATGAAAATGCAGCATCTCTACCACCCTGGCCTGGAGCAGCCCACTAACAGCTTCCCCCTCCAGGAAGGTGCAAGAAAGTCTGGTCTCTTCTCCAGCCAACTACAGAGAGCTGGAAGGGGTTTGAAGGACCGGGAGTAGCCAGGTGCTGCTCCAGACCCTCTGTGTCCATCCCTCATTTAACTTACCCCTTCATAGTCTGTGCAGCCTCTCTCCTCGTGAGGGAGAAAACAGAAGCCCGGTGTCCAGGGGAGGAAGAAACAGGACCAGAGAAGTGAGGTGACCTGCCCAGGGTCTTGCACCCAAAAACCAGGGAAATGGGAGCCCAGCCTATATTCTGACCCCAAAGCCCAAGTCCCACCCACAAAGCCAAGTGGATCCCAAAGGTAAGAGTCACTTAAAACTTAACAACTGGCCATTGCCCATTTTTTCTGGGCATTTCCTAAGATGAGCCTGGAGCTACCCACATCTACCCATCTCTGGCTACAAATAAATCTGCTCTGTGCATTAGGGAAAGGACGAGTGAGAGGTCACCTGAGCCCATTGAGAAGGAGATCTCCAAGAAGACATCAGTTTATTGTGTAAGGAATCCAGGGCCTTGTTGGTACAAGAAGTGGTGTCCGTTCCCATGGCCTGAGAAGCAGCTGTGTCTCTCCAGGCCCCTCTCTCATGCCACAGGATGCCAGCTATAGATCCAGAATCCCCATGAGAAGCAGGAACATTTTTAAAAAGAAAAGAAAGGCCAATTGCCTGCCCCATACTCTGTTATTCCAGAAGGGCCATGATGCACTTTTCAGAGGTACAGTCCCGAAGGTCAGCCTCAAAGAGGCCCCCAGCTAGTCAGGGGGCCACCTGTGATCTGTACCTACTGAACAGATCAGTCCAGGTGGCCCCCTGACTAGCTAGTAAGAGCACGCATCCACGCCACTCCAATGGAAAGTGCCAGTCCCTGCAGCTGCTGCCATTACTCAGCCAAGTACCTGCTTTACAGCCCCGTTTCCTGGGCCACATCGGATGAACGAACATTTCCAGGGACACTTGCCACATACCGGGCCCTGGTCCAGACCCCTTCCATGTCATGAGAAGTGAGCGATTCTCTCATTTGACAGACAGGACATCCAACACTCACAAGACGTTCAACAACCAACAAGGGGCCAAGTTTTCTTGGGACTCAGGGATGGCCAATTCTAGAAAGTGTCAATCAAGAGAGGTGGCTCTCAAAGGGTGGTCCCTGGACCACAGCCTCGTCGTCACCTGGAACACTGTCAGAGAACAGATTCTCGGGCACACCCCACACCTGCTCAATTGGAAACTCTGGGGGTGGGTCTCGTAATCCATGTTTTAACATGCCCTCCGGGGAATTCAGATGCACTGAAGGTGGAGAACCAGGAGCTAGAGACTCCCAAAGGGCACAAAAGCCGAGAGTCAGCCACAGGTGCAGGTCCCCTAAAACAGTGCTATTCTCAATGTGTGTTCCGAGGAACATGAGCATGCTTGGAGACTGTTAATGGCTATTCCCCAAAGAGGGGTTCTACTGTCAATGAGTTTGAGAGTCCCTGGATTAAATAAAGTTGAAAAGGTGTTTTTACCACTGGACTGCTTGAGTTTAACTAAACTAATGTACCTTGTGTGTCTCAGAGAAAGTACCCAGGTGGCGCTTCCCAAACTTCCTAGACTACGGAACCCTTCTTTCTCAGAACACCTATTATTATCTCCCAGAACACCTGTGTTCCACAGACCCCAGCCTTGAAGAAGAGAAAGCCAAGAAATGCAGAAATGTAGGAAGACGGCAGTAAATGCGGATACCCACTCTGGACTCCACCAGACTGGCTCTCTCTTGGGTTATGTTTAATGACAGCCTTTGGCAAGCTCACTATCTTACATAAAGTAGAGGAACACAGAGTTCACTCGGCCTTAGGGGAGCTGCGGGGTTGGGGTTATGAGGAAAAGAAAGCCCCGTGCCAGTGACCCTGGGGCCCCGGGTGAGTAATCCACTGCCAAAGCCCAGAGGCACCAGGCAGGGTATTATTGTTATTAGATTTTCAACAGGGAGGGCTGACATTTCCAGGAGCTCGTCAATTACTTTAATAACTGTAATTCTTCGGGCTGGAGAGGCCACGGGGATGAATGTTACTCATTCCACAGCTGGGGGAGCATTTGAAATGAGCGCCTTCATCCGGCCCCAGGGCTCTAAGAAAACAAGATGGCATAGATTGAACAGCACCTAGGGGCAGGCAGGTTCTGGAAACATCTACCTGCTCTCAAGGTTGTAAATGCTTCAATCCTTCCCCAGGTCTGGGGTGGGAGTCTGTGGGAGGCCCTGGAAGGGTCTCTGACTGAGGTATTCCACAGGCAGGGAGGGGAAGGGGGCAGGACGGGACTTCGTATCCAGGTAAAGGGCTCAGGTGGAAATGAAAGGGGGTAGGAAGAGAAACGGAAAGGTGACATCATTTCCCAGGGTCCACAGTTAGGAGGGCCTCCTGAGAGCCATGCTGTGGGAGTGCGTCAGCCCAGCGGTCTGTGCCCTCACCCAGCTCCACCCAACGCAGGAGGCAGGTTGAGCCTCGGACACCGAGGACACTGTAGCACCAGGCGGTGAGGGAGATGTGATGTGAGGGCAGGAGGGAGGGACAGGTGGGGCCAGAGGGCACCACGGCCCTGACGCTGGACCCATGGTCCAGCCCGTGAGTCCCGACTTCCCTCCTGCCTTTGCCCCACCTCCAAGGCCTCTGGCAAAATCTTGCTAGAACCTTCCAGCTTATCTCAGTTGTGCCTTGTAAAGGTCATCATCCACATTAGAATTAACATGTGAGCGGGGGACAGTATGTCCTGATGCCAGCAGTAGCCGGAGGAGGAACTCTGGTACCATCTTGGACAGGAAGTCCCCAGAGGAAGGAAGCCACGAACCAGGAAGTTGAACTGGGAACAGAAAGCCAGCAAGAGCCCAGGACCCTGATGGCCTTGGGGCCACCACACCAGCCCTGAATCACCCACTTCCGCACTTTGATGTGACACAGAAATACACTTCTATCTCATTTTTTTTTAATCACCAGGTACATGAAATATTTCTGAATGATTCTAATCATGTCTTTTGCATATAAAATTAAAAAGGTGACGTGTAAATTAGAATTATTTCACTAAAAATGCTGACCAAAACCTATGTGCTATTCCAAAAAAATTTTTAATTACCAAGAGTCAAAAGCAGCTGGGGCCGCTCTGCAACTTACTCCCATTATGCCCTACGGAACCCCACCTCAGGGTAAGAATGGGGCGACACCAGCCAAGCGGGGATGTCACTGCCCTGGCTTGCTCTGTTGGCAATTTGGAGACGCCAGCCCCGCCATGCTCCTCCCAGCCATTCCTGAGAGCCCCCGCAGCGTGCCTCCCCTCTGCTCTAAAACTAGGCCCCATGCCTACCATGTGCCATCTGCCCTCTTTGTACCCTGGCTTTTAGAGCTGCTCCGCGCCCCCCGGTGCCACCAGCCCTGCCTGCCGCACAGGGAGAGCAACCCACGTCCATGCAAGCCAGGCACCAGCCATCTCGTGGGACACAGCTGGCCTGCGAGATCTCGGCCCCCTGCCCTGGCCGCTGCAGACACACGGCATCCGCTCCACGTGCCAGAGCAAGAGGATGGTGAGCTCTCCTGGACCCATACATACATCCCGTGTTAGGAAAGATGGAGTTTAAAAAAATGAAAACACATTATCCTACTGGCAAAAGGATGCTGTTGCGGGGGGCTAAAATCACTGGCCTAGGTAGCAAGCCAAGATTAACATCAGGTTTTAGGTGAAGGATTTATTGGCGACCACAGGGCAAGACTTTACTTTCTTTAGTCATATTCCCCCCCCCAAAAAAAAATCACATTTCCCCCAAAACAGATGCTCAAATTGAGCTGTGGGGGAAAATCCTGGACTGTTCACTTACAAATTCCCAAAGACTGCCCTGGCTCGTCAAGACACCGGGCAGCACAGGCCCTCACCTCCCCCCAACTTCTGGTCGGTCCCTGACCTTCGGGCCGAGAGACACGTCCCCGCTGGGCTGCTGCCCCTCATCCTGCCCACGGAGCCCAAGAACTGGTCCAGGAGTCACAGTGCTTGCCTCCCTCTGGGCCAGGACCACCAGGGCTCCGGTCACCCACGTCGAGTCAGAGAGCCGCACGCACAGGTACCACACTCAGGCAGAGGCCGGGACAAGGCCTTCCAACCCTCGTCGATGCCAACCGCTGCTCGGGAGAGGCTGAGGCCTGTTTCCCCAAAGTCACAACTGACCCTTCCCCATGTTTACCACCAGTCTTCTTGAAGCTCTCTCCACCCACCTCCAAAATACCGGAGCACCAGGGCTCCAAGAGCCTTTGCTTGCAAGCCCTGATCTTCCAGTCCAGACTGCCCCCCTTAAAAGAATGTTCCTTCTTTCTCTCACTTCCCACTTGATTCAAGAGACAGCGGTGGCTTTGATGTATTGTTGCAGCTGAAGGAAGCTAGGATATTTTCCGAACCAATAAAGATGATTTCATGCTGTATGGTCCAAGGGTCTCCTTGGATGGAAAAACATTTCAGAAAGACTTAAGGCCACTTGTGTCTCTCCCCGGGGCCCCAAACTCTCAGTAATTCCAAGGGCAAAGCTCTTCACATAAGGCCAGTACAGAGTACGGAGGCCTCAGAAGCCAGGGCCAGCGGGCCCCTTCCCCAGCCTGACCCTGGGCAAACCACCCAGGCACCAAGACGGAGAAGTGACAGCAGCTCCGGCAAGGCCTTCATCACCAAGGAGACCGAGCACCAGTCAGAAGCCTGCACAGGATTCTCCTAAGGACATGGAAGTGCAGATGCCGAGGTGGTCAATGCCACAGCAGCCTCCTGCTGGGAAACCACTGAACACTGAGCTCAAGCCAAACACGACCCAATTTTGTGAAAGTCTAAGAGCATCGACTGTCCTCGCGAAGTGCTCAGATAATGAGAAAATGATGGCACTGACTCCGTGCACTGCCGACTCTCCCCATACACACACGAGATCTCTATCAAGGGAAGGCAGGCTCTCAGGAGGAGGCCGAGAATGTCTGAACTGTGCCAATGCCACTGTCCCTGGCTGTGTGACCCTGGGGGAGTCTCTCAGCCTCTCTGAGCTTCGACTTCTTCCCTGGGATGTGAGGCCACTACCTCACCCTCCTGGGTGGTCAGAAGGGTTAGAGACCCTAAGCCCAGCATTACTTCAGGCGGCTCTTCCCTTAATCACAGGGACCCAGCAGCGGGGAAACCAGCAGGAGAGGTGCTGGGGAATGCAAGGCTGCAAACACCAAAGGGCATGACAAACCCATTGGTCCCATTTGTCATTTACCCTCAAGGGCCAGAGACCCAGGATGAAGACACTGGCAAAGAGGAGAAGACCATCAGGAAAACAAATGTGGCCAGATATCAAGCCCTCTTGAGAGTGGACATGTCCAAATTGCTCCTAATAGCTAACTTGGCAGCATTTTTCTGGCATGATCTTCCCCATCCTATGAACCATGTTTCTGATTCTCTGGAGTTAATATTCGGTCCCGGTTTTGTTCAAAGAGTTTTAACATTTTCTGCACGTCGTGGTCAGCCTCAATCACCTGGAAATTAAACACACGGGTCACAGGACTGCGCTTGACCTCAACACCATCCTCCCCTTCACACATGAAGAGGGAGAGAGACGGAGGCACACAGGAGGAGGCAAGGAGTGGCAGAGAAGTCCAAGGTCACAGGCAGATAAAAAGGAGGGTTAGAGCAGAACAGCACCAGGTTCTAGGTCAATTCACATTCTCAGCTACGTTTCCACTTAAGAATCCACTATGGTTGTCCCTGCAGCCAGCCCGTGAATGAGTTTTTTCCCCATCATTTTATATTATCCAGTAATGGCGGGGGGGAAACAGATGTTACTTCCTTAAAATTCCAGTACAGTAATATCTCACTTTCCAGCAACCTCATGGCCTGGAAGCACCATGATGAGTAGAATTTTCTGAGCAGCCCACACAGATGTCCCTTAGGCCACGCACAGAAGTTTGTGCATGGCCCTCCCTCAGATCCCACACTGGGCGCACATCGCCAGCCGTCTCGGGACCCATCTGCCTGCCTGAAGAAATTGAGCAGCAGCAAAGCAGGAAAGGAGGGGACAGGGAAGCAGGGAAAGGTGGGGCGGAAATGGCACGCAGTTACAAGTGGCAAGTGTCGGCAGGAGAAGCTGCTACACGAAGCCAACGTACGAACTCAAAGACATTAGTGGTCTGGGGCAAACTGTCCTACACACCTCAGCACCTCCTAAGGGCGCCACTGGGTAACAGCCCAGGACAGCAACTGGTGTTCCTTCAGATGCCCTGGGTCACCGAGGAGAGGGGCAACGAGGCTCCATGGCTGCCATCCACTGGAGAAGGGATGGTTGCATCAGAGAGACCCCCATCCCAAGGGGCTAAAGCCAAAACCCGCGTCTAGAGGCTTCAGCCATCTGGAACACTCCATCACTAATGATGCTGGGTAAGTGAGATGCTACTGTGGCCACCGGTGTAATGACACGGGGACAGGTCCCCTTCTCTCAGGTCTGTCCAACGGACCCGGAGACTCAGTCCAGAATGGGGACCAGGAGAGAGAAAGGGCCCCTTCTACCCTCCCTGCTTCCTTCTTCTCGATCCTCCAGCTCTGAAGGACCTGGCCCCTCCCCAGACTGCAGAGTGGCTGACATTCCCCGGGTCACTCCTCCTTCCAGAAAAGTCTCCAGCCCTGCCAGGGGGACTTACCAGAACAGGGGCTGCCACAGGGAAAAGGCCCCCGTGGATGAGCCACTCCTCATAGAGGTGGTGAATAGCATTCAGGTAGTCCTGCCAGGAAACACACACACACACAGACATACACATGAACCCAGGCCTTCGGGAGCAGGCAGGGGAGCAAACCTCTCCAGCAAGGACCTCGGGCAGGGGGTGTGAACGTCCATGACCACGGGGAGTGGCTTGGACATAGGGGTCTGCAACTGCCAACCTGGCTCAGATGGACAGTCATAAACGCAGCCACTCGCCCCCCACCAGCCAGCCGGGCCATGGCGACAGTTAGAGGAGCCCCTCCCGGACCTACTCCCTCCCCCCAGTGCTGCCCTGCTCCAACGGTGCCCTGCACACACTGTCCCACCAGACTTCTCACACTGACGCCCACTTCTCTATCAGCAGGGCCACCAGTTCCTTCATGCTGGGGTCCACAGCTGCTTCCCAGCCCTGGGCAGCCTCTGACACCCCCACTCTGTCCTTCCCAAGAGGCCTGTGACCCTCACTGGCCTAGGAGACCCACTCCCGCTGCTTCCACCCCACCTGACAACTTGTGACCTGTAAGCCCTCTAGACCATGAAGACCAACTTCAGAAAGCCTCACAAGGTGGAACCCAGGGGGAGAGAGGCCCGGACATGCCCCTAAGCCATCAGCGCCTCCGTACCAGGCAGGACTGGACAGACACTTTCTCATGCGGAGGCCACGGTGCTCTGACCACCCATAGCCACCTTCCCAAGCAGCAATTTACTGCCAGCCCAGAAGCTCCCAGGGAAACCGCAATGCCACCTTTTCATCCACCATCGAGTTATCCCTTGGCAACAACAGACGTGTCCTATAGGCCTTGTCAGAAACACTAAGATAAAGGCCCAGCTAATAATGGCTTGGAGGTACTCCAGACTTGTCATTTCTTCAGAACATCTGGGTCACTGCACAGAGCGGCCCTGCCCCACCACAGCCTAGCCCAGCCCCGCTCCACTGTGCCCTTCCTTCAATCACTCCTCTCTCCGGATTTCAAAGGAGCTACCCAGAAGGAGGCCTACGCCTTCATGGCTGGCATCAACCTTACTGGTACCTGGGGAAAACAAGGCTGGGTGGGCCTCGGGAGCTGGGCGGGTCTTCCAGGGCCCCTAGACCAGCCCATCCTGAGCTGAGACCCATCCCAGGAAATGCCTGCCCAGCCTCTGTCCCAGTGGCATTCACATGGGGCATTCAGGTCAGTATTAACTGAGCAACTCCTCGGTGCCAAGCCCTGGGAAACACGCTGGGGGTGCAGGGAATAAGACCTAATCTTAAAAAGCTCACAATTTGATGAGGGATGGGGAACAAAACATATAAACAAACAGTTTCGGTATGCTTGTCCTTAGGGTTGTGACCATCGTAAGCCCAGAGGTTAGGGGAGCACAATGGCGGGAAGGTCAAGGAAGGCTTCCTGGAGAAGGTGACATCTAAGCTGAACTTGGAAGGCAAAAGAAGCCACTGCACAAAAGCACATTTGTGTAAGTGCAGGGTGAGTGTGAGTGTGTGTGTAGCCACGACTAGTCTCTGTGGCCAGAGCATGAGAGGCAGGGGGTGGAGGGAGGTAACACGGATCCAGCAGGATTCGAGGTGGCATGTGCTAGTGGGGACTTTACTCGAGACGGCAGCAAGCCGCCGAAGGGTTAGTGGCTGGGAAACTGCATGAGTGGTGCTCTGTGCTGGAAACATCCCCGCGCAGCAGCCCCGTGGAGGCCAGGTTCGGGAGGGCACGTGGGGCCAGGATGAGGGGGGCAGTCCAACAATCACACCGTCCTGACGAGAGGTCCCGTGGCCCTGAGCCAGCACCCGGAAGGGCGAGGTACCGGGCAAGTACCAGAGAGGACAGCCTCGGAGCCCAGCACGGCACTCAGCACAGGGGACGGAGCTGCCAACGGGAGGGAGTGTTCTGGCGAGGCTCCAGAGCTGGGCACAAAGGCAAGCAGTCCTCAGGAGGTGGCTAGGACACGCCCTGGGGGGCGCCTGGCGGGCAGCGGGAGAGGGGATGCCTTTGGGCCCAGAGGGCGCCAACCGCGGCGACCCGGGCCTCAGGAGCTTCACACAGCCTCTCGGGCCACAGAGGAAGTCCGAGCTTACCCCGCAGTATGCTCAGTTCCCAGTTCCCTGTCTGCGACAGCACAGTGATCTCAGGGAGGGATGGAAGTAGCTTCCCGGGCATTAAGCGGCTTCAAGGCGGCTCTTACCAAGGGAATGACCGTCTCCTCTTCCCTGCATCTCAGCCGCAATCTCTGGTAACAGGTCTCAGGGGTGGTCCGGAGATACACTGAGATTTAAAAAAAATAGTATGTGGCTCTAATGACTCTGTTTGTGGCTTAGAAGTGGAGGCCAGGGAGAGGGGGAAGGCAGGCCTGTGCACAAGGCGTGGAGAGAAACATCTGCCAACCACTCTGAGCAGGAGACAGAGACCCCAGCCAGCCCCCAGCCTGACCACTGCCCAGCTGTGTGGCCTTCAGGCATCTTGACCCTCATGCCCACTTTCATTTTCTTTCCACGTCACCAGCCCCACGGGGTTGCTGTGAGGCTGAACGAAGTTCCACATGTGCACAAAGCTTCACACGGGTTCTGGCCTCCTCCCTCCCTTACACACTAAAAAAAAACCCATCGAATCACAATGGACCCAGGGGAGAGCAGCTTGAGGAGGGACCAGAAGCCCCCAGATCCTGTCTGCCCTTGGAGAGAAGGCTGAACTAACGTGGGCAAAGAATCACTAATGGTTGGGGCCCTGCCCGCTGCCCCTGCCAGCTGGCAGTCCTGTCAAGCACATGCTCCCTGGGACCCCGGGGGCTGGTCAGGAGGGGTCTCTCACCTATCAAATCAACGGACACGTCGATGTTCCTCACAATCCAGTCAAACCATTCCGACAGAATCACATAGTCCACTTCAGGCATCTTTCCGCTATAATGAGAGGTGTTAGGGTTTTATGCATCAAAAGGATCTGTGGATGGCTTCTGTGTAAAGGGCGCAGCCCGGGGCACCAGGGCATAGCATGATCCATGGGATACTGGGCCCCCAACACCTCTGAACCTCTGCTGCCGGGGGCACAGTTTCCAGTCTAATGCAGCAACTGTCATGGAAGTGCCCGATGGGAGAGCTCATCTGGGACTTGAACTCCAAGCAGAGAAAGGGGCTTTGAGGCCTGACCCCAGAGAACAGGGACAATGCTCACGTTGGAAGGTGGAGCAGCAAACCAATTTCACCTCTAGAAATCTATTTTGTGCAAATAATCATGGATGCCCACTGCAAGCACCACCAAAAATAATGAAAAATGAAATCTTGGCACACCAATATAACAGCACCCCATGCAGGAACTGAACAATGGTGTCGTAAAATAACATTTAATGACGTGGAAAACGCTCACAATCGAGTGTTCAATGAGAACAGCAGGTATAAAATTGTGTGTAGTATGACCCAACTGTATTTCCCGGAGAAATCATTCACACATTTCGAAAAAAGACTGGAAAGAAAGACAACAAAATGCATCCAGTGCTTTTCTCTGAGCTGTGGGAGTATAGGAGACTTTTTTTTTTTTTAGATTATTTATTTATTTATTTGACAGAGAGAGCAAGAGAACACAAGCTGGGGGAACAGTAGGAGGGAGAGGGAGAAGCAGGCTCCCCGTGGAGCAGGGAGCCCAATACGGGATCGATCCCAGGACCCTGGGACCATGACCTGTGCCGAAGGCAGACACTCAACCATCTGAGCCACCCAGGCGCCCCCTTTCTTTTTTTTTAAGATTTTTTGGGACTCTAGGAGACTTTAATGTTTTCTTTCTACCTTGTATTTTCCAAAATCAGAGGAGAGGAAATAACTACATATTTAAAATGTTAACTGAAAAAGGAAGGAAGAGGGCACCTGGGTGGCTCAGTCGTTCAGCGTCTGCCTTCGGCTCAGGTCATGATCCCAGGGTCCTGGTATCAAGCCCCGCATCGGGCTCCCTGCTCCGCAGGAAGCCTGCTTCTCCCTCTCCCACTCCCCCTGCTTGTGTTCCCTCTCTCGCTGTGTCTCTGACAAATAAATAAATAAAATCTTTTAAAAAAGAAAAAGGAAGGAAAAAATCAAGACAAGAGACCAAGAGTGCAAGAGGCCTGGTGTCTCTCCCTGGCTCCTGTGCGTTTCCCCCGCCCCAAAAGGAAACCCACATAAAAGAGCCAGAGGACCGGCAACCAGGGGACACACACCTGTCAAAGGTTGGGTGATCCTCCAAGGTCCAGGAGAGGAATTCTCCCTTTTAACACCCTACCCACCTTGGATACCATCTTGGATCCACTCAGAACAGGGTTTGGCAGGACTGGCTACGGGGACAGGGGCCGTGCCTGCGCCCAGGGTGCATGGTGGGGGGGGCGGGGGAGGGGGCGGTTCTGACTGCCGATGAACGACGGGGAGTGGTCTGGAGCCGGCCCCCTGCTGGGTGCTGTGAACGGACTTCCACCTGGCAGGGAGGAGCAGTGCAGGGATGGGCATGGAGGGAGGCAAGAAGCTCAGGCAGCTGGAGGGGCGCATCTCGGGGATACTAAGGCCACAAGCAGCCCTGCCTGGGGCCCAAATGACAGGGCATGGCATAGACTGAAGAGGGACACCTGCCCCTCATCCTTGAGACCCCCCATGGCGCCCTCAGGGGAGACGGGCTGTGCTCAGGCTGAGTAGCAGGAAAACATACGGTACCCGAGACAGAACAGCAGGGGCAGAAGGCCAGCTGTGGGCACCTTAGAGGTCTTCAAGCATCGGACCTCAGCCAGGAGACAAGAGCAGACCAGAGCAGACTAACATGTGAGGGCGCCCCGAAACAGTGGGGGAGGGCAGTGGGAGGAAGGTGCACAACCCTGCAGAGGGGACCAGAGCCAGTGAAATCCAGGAACTAAAGGTAAGGACTTTAGGACCACGGGCTGGTATGGCATGAGGACAGGTGGCTGCCCAGCCCCTAGTTCTTTCCTCTTATCTCCTGAGAGTAGTCCGTTATTTATTCAGGATCCATCCACAGACCTGAGTGTTTCAGGGAAACCCGACCTCAAGCCAAGCTTCAGGGGAGGCCCAGTTGGTCGAAGGGAAATACTCTCTTCTCACGAGGCTGAGCCGATCTGGCCACAGGGGCCTGGCCTGTACCAGTGAGACATGAAGGAGGTTTGCAGGGGTTTGGAGGGGTTGATGGAAACCATGCTTCCTCATACTTAGAGGAAAGCCACTGGCAAAACACCTACCCTCTGGCCAGCAGGTGAGAAGGCTGGTTCTGCCACAGCCATTTTGTCACCATGAGGGAATCATATTGAGGACACAAACAAGACACAGAGTAGGAAAACAGGGCCAGAGCCACAGAATGAAATCAACGCTGAAGCCTGCCATTAAGACAGCCAGTAACAACCTTGTTGTTCAGGCTACTTTGAGTTGGGTTTTGGTTAGTTGCAGCTGAGAGTATCTGATTTCAAGAAACCAAACCATTCTCTCTTTACATGCTTTCCTTCTCTGGGAAATAAAGGTTTGTTCTCCAGAACAAAAGTGACTGGGAGGGAATGGGGATTTCCAAAATGGAAGCTGCTCCTCAGCCCCCACCCCCCCCTTCTCCACTACCACACAGACAGAACAGACAAGCAACACAGGGTCGTGGCCCTGTGAAAGCTGCCCAGGGCGGCGGTGTCGCAAGTCCTGGACACTGCCTAAGGAACAGGGTGCCCGGCACCACTGCCAAGCCACTGTCGGGGGCAGCGCCTTTCTACAGAAAACCTAGCCACGTGACTCACCACCAGCGGACTGGGCACACTGAGGGGGGTTCACGGTGCCTCCCCCTGCGCCAGGGTGGCAAAACCGAGGTCCTGGGTCCACACGAATCCTGCTGGCTGTTTTGCTTGGCACGGTTTGCAGTCACCTTCTCCCTGAGGCCCACGGAGTCCCCAGTTTGCACAGCACAGGTCAGAATGGAAACCGCACACTCCAATGCCAGTCCGCCTGTTAACATTATTTTCTTTTGTTTTCACAAGACCTTTGCGAGGTCACTTTTAGTCCCGATTTACAGATGAGGAAAACTGAGGCCCAGAGCAGTGAAGCCCAACTCAGTCTGAGCCAGAATTTAAGCCTGGCTCTCCGTGGCCCCCAAATCCATATGATCTCCATGACGTCATTCGCCCTCCCTGGTCCGTGCGTGGAGGGGGCTGCTCGGGACGCTCCAGTGCCTCTTTGGCATCCGCCCAGGAAAGGCACAGCTCTCAAGGTCACGACCCAGGCCCGAGGCCCCGGTCTAGACCAGGGCAGGGGAGGAATCCAAGCCCCCAGGCCAGTTAGGGAGGTAGGCGGCCCTGCCTATTGTTCCAAACGCAGGGTCTTAATCAATGTCCACCAGCCCCAGGTGAGTCAGCTGTCATTTCCCAGCTGGGTCCCACTCAATTCTCATACTTCTGTTCTTAGAAAAAGGCGGCCAGCAATCTTGTAAAACCTTTGCATTCAATTATTCAGCCCCCGGGGCTTGGGCCACATAATTGCCTGCAAGGCATTCTCGCCTCCTTCAGCTTTTCCTTCCAGAGCAGTGCCCATGCCTCACAAGTTCCCGTCGTTAAGGGGATGATGTAACTGGAATCTTCCCTTTCAGCAATTACCATGCTGCTCTCACACCCCTGGCCAGCATAATTGCACTTACATTCTGTCCGCCCCAAACTTGCTGCAGTGGGGGTGTCCAGAAGAGGCAGGTCTCTCCCTAGGAGACCCAAAAGGCAAGGACACCTTTGAGAAATTTTGCTTCAGGGGATGCACAACGCCACCATGTGGCCTGCCGTGACCTTCCACCAGGGCCCCTCACCCCAGATTCCAGGCCAAGGATGGAATGTTTCTCAACGGCTTTTGAGAAAGAGGAAAGGACCAACCCCAACACAGAAGGGCAGCAGCAACTTGCCCCCTGCCCTGGGAAAGGGCTCTCCCCATCGGGGCACGGTAGGAAGCCTTGTCCTTGAGCACCTGAGGGTGGGGGGGACAGGAGCTGACAGGCCACACTTGCCATCCTGGGGTTCCCAGCGCCCAGCTGACCTCCCCACAGGTGGGAACCAGAACATCCTATTTTAGGTGTGGGCCAAGGATCCAGCCAAGCTCAGTTCTAGCATACCTTTGGTTTAGGCTCAACATGACGGTCATCTGTATTTGGGGGGCAGCAGAAACGTCTCAAAACACCTACTCAGTAACAGTTCGTGGTGGCTGACCCACTGCATCGAGGAAAGCTGGCCTTGTAAGGAGACTGCCGGCAAGGGAAGCCCGCCTTCCATGCTACCCCGCACCCCGTCACTTCCTTAGCTCTGGCTGCAAACATGCTACTGTGTCTCCATGCAGAAAACCTCTGGCCTATGGCCACACCTCTCCTGGCCCGGGAGTAAACCTGGAGACCCTTCAAACAAAGAAAACACAACAAAACCCCCAACACCTAAAACCTGAAGCAACAAATGAGAAATGAACAAACAGCAGGCAGCGCAAGAAACAGGAAGCCCCGCATTGCAGAACTTTCACCAGGATGGGCCGCCTGCCCTCAGAAAAGCCCACAGGACTGGGCTCTTGCTCTCCTGACCCCAGGGAGGCCACAGGAACAAAACTCTCAGGGGAAAGGGCCCGGCATTAGGGCAGAGAGCTCTTTGCGGCTGGCGGCTGGCTTCTTCTGAGGCCTTACTCCTCCAAGTGTGCTCCCCAACCAGCAGGATGGTGGCCGCCCAGGGTTCTTCAGTTAGAAATGCAGGTTCTCAGGCTCCGCCCTGGACTCCGCAAAGCAGCTCATGTGTGTTATTAACAAGATGTACGGTGATCTGTGGCAGAAGCCCACCATAAGGCCTGGGGGTAAAGAGACAGAGGCCTGGCTCACCCAAGTCGGCGCCTTGGGGCCTCCAGTCTGAAGCCTCTGGCCTGAAGGCGAGAAACCCAGAGGTCTCTCACCACTCCCTCATTCCTGCTGCCCCACCCAGCAGGCCACAGGGCAGCTCCCCCTGCTCAGCCACCTGCCGGGTCAGGAAGGAGCACTGGCCTTCGGGCCCCATCCCTGCGCCTGCTCTGCCAAAAGGGGCAGCAGTACCTACGCGGCAGGGCTGCCTCGAGGGCTGGAGGGGGAGAAGTGTGAAGAACCAGACAGTAACTGCGGCTCCCGGCCTGCCCCTCAACCGCTTGAGTGAATGCTCACATTGCCACGGAGCACAGATAACCTGGTCCAGGCCACAAGTGAATCACCTGCGCGGGGAAGGTTCTTCTCAGAGCCCCTGCCACCGTGAGTTCTCTCCGCCTCCCAAATCTGGGAACTCTGGGACACGCGGCCGAGGAAGGGGGTACTCTAAGCCACACCTAAGCACGGGGTTTGTTACAGACACAAACAGAAGAACACATTATAGAACAGAATGCAAAGTCCACGTGAATTTCTAAGACAAAAGAGAAGACTTCAAAGCCACTTTCGGTTTGCTAGCTAGGCCTCTTCAGCTGCCCGGGCTCGGAGGGCCGTGCAGAAGCGGCCTCCTGTGCGGGCGGTCCTCGGCCCCTGGAGGACTTCAGTGAAAGGGTGTGTGGAGCACAATAAACAATAAACATCAGGCATAAGTAAGAACAGAGCAGGAAAAAGGCTCAAAAAAATTAAAAGCTATAGTTTTTTTCCTACACTACCCACAAGACAGCCATGTTTTGGGCAAGGGCCATGTTTTCTTGGACCTACGACCTCAACCACAGCCACAGAGATCAGGAAATCAGAACCAGCCATCAGAGGTGCTGGAATGAAGGGCTACGAGCATGAGTACCCAAAGGCCACAGACATAAGCTAAAACTGCCTCCTGGGAAAACAGAGACTGATGGCTCCTGGGGAAATCTGCCAGGTGTTGGGCAGCCAGCAGGTAGGGAACGGGGCTGGGGGGTGGGGGGGCTAACTGGCAAATTTCGTGAAGAGCAGGGTAGGCAAGGACCTGCATAAGGGGCACAAAACCTAAACTAGGTGATTGTTCCATAGGCTCTCCAGAGATGGACGACAGGACTTAGAGATGAGAAGGGTTTGGGGAGCTTTAAGAACTTGGCCGTGCTCACAAAGACAGCAAATTCCAGAGCCAGAAGGGGACTCAGGTTCCCCGAACTCAGCACCTCACTCTCTCCTCTGAGCCTCTGATCATTCCATTCCAGGTTACCCTCTTCAAAAGGAGCCACTGGCTGCCACACAGAACCAGCCAAGCTGACGGCAACTACAAGACAGCCAGCCTCGCTAGGCGAAGGGCACAGGAAGTCCCACCCTGCCGCCCGGGGTCCACGCATCAGGCTTCGATACTTTCATCAGAGCAATAAACAAACACCGGTGGGGCTCGTTTGTTCTTTCTCTTCCCTCCTCCGCCTGTCCCTCCCTCTGGCGGAGGCACTGATGAGCAAAGGAGCAAAGGAGAGCAAAGGGCTGGGTACACCTAAGGTGGACACCTCGGTCCCACTGAAATCCCAGATAGGGCGGGTGGGGGCGGGGAGGACAGGGCTCTAGCATCAGGCCCACTACTGCTGGAAGGTTGGAGGACAAAGCTACAGTCAGGACTTGCCCTGGCTGCTCCTCACCCCATGGCATTAGTCTAATGCTCAGAATGGATGCAAGCAGAGGCTCTCATTTTGGGACCACAAAGCAATGGGCATGATCCATGGCAGCTCAGGACCAAAGGAAGCAGCCTTTTTAGTGGCTCCCTCGAAGGAAGGGGGATGAAGCAGCTGGGGCCAGAGCCTGGGGAACATGTCCAGCTGGAGACCGAAGAGCAGCCCCAAGTCCCATCGCCAAACAACAGCTAACGATACGGCCCAGGTGCTGGCCCCGGGCTGGGTCCGTGCTAGGCAAGTACACCTGACGTGGCCGGTCCTCCTGTCATCAAGGAGTTTCTGGCCCAGCTGGGGAGCAGGAGGGGACGACACACAGTAGACAGTTGAACAAATAAAAATAGACTAAGTTGAACCACGTGTAACTGCCATTCTTGTAGGTCAAAATTGGTCAAATGTTAATAATTTCATTGGGTTCAACTTACTTTAAAGTTGTCTTAAATACTATGAAGAAAGGCAACAGGAAGAAGTAATTAAAACTGACAAAGAGGTCCGACCCATCAGACAGGGTGGCTGGGAGGCCTGGGAGAGGTGACACTGAGGACAGTTATAGATGAGAGCGAGCAGGGAGCCGGCATGTGGAGAGTGGCAGGAGGATGTCAGGATAAACCTGACATCAGGACCTCTCGATGAGGGAGCTCAAGGCGGGAAGCAGCAGTAATATGGGGGCTGGCAAGGAGAGGGTGACCAGGCACACGGCTACCGAGGAGGGAGGGGCGTGGAAGGAGCCCACGCTTCAGACCGCAGCCTGTAGCCCATCTCCCCAAGACCCTTAAAATCAGCAGTCCACTGAGCACAGAAATCGGGAGGGTCCCAAGCCTCTGAGGCCTCAGCACGGTGCACTACCAGAAGTCCCCTAACTGTGCCTACATGACAGAGTCCACGCGCATGAAGGCAGAAGACAGTCTGGAGTGAAATTATAACAAACACTGCGCAAGATGTTCTAGACTGAATGCTCTGTGTCTCTGGGTCTTCACCACATCCTCCCACTTTGCCACGTGAGCCACAGGGGCCCCCTCAACCTCTCAACCTGGGGTCGCCTCGTGGGGCCTGCTTTGGCCAATGGGATGTTAGCAAATGGGAAGATGAGGGCTGAACAGCACTCGTGCGTTCCTGCTGGTGCCTCTGCTCTCCGTCGTCACCATGAGAAGTGTCCAGGCTAGCCTGCTGGTCCCATAGGAGGAGGAGAGGCAAGAAGAGAGAGATGAGCCACCCCAGTCAGCCCTGCTGGAGCCATCCTGGACCAGCCAACCCCCAGACATACCATGAAGCCGGGCCATCGAGGTCAGCAGAGCCACCTGGCCGACCACCCTTGACACCTGAGCAGTCGCTGCGGTAAAACTATCTGCCGCTGAGGGTCTGTGGCTGGTTGTTACAGAGTGTTACTGTGGCCAGGGGCTAACAGATACAACACAGTAGGTACTCAACACTCGTCACATGAATAAACAAGTTCCAATTTCATTTCTACAAAATGAATGGTTTCATAAATTAGCAAGTGTGCAAACCACAGTACCTTCTATATAGGTTTTCTACAAAAATATATCTTGCGCTGTGAATCGACCGCTCCATCAACCGCACAGGTGATGTCTAAAAGAAAACAAAGTGATTCACTGACTCGGGACAGGAAGGCTTGAAGGACGTCTGTGGCTCCCCCTGCCTGCGGTCTATACCAAACAAAAGAGCAGAGAAGCTGTGGGAGAGGGAGGCAGTCACCAGAGCAATGGTGGGGGTCCGACATGGGGCTCAGCTGTGCTCCGCCCTCGGTCCGGGACCCTCCCCACACCCTGAAGCTCAGTGGCCAGTGCAGCAATGCAGGGGCTGCCGCTAGTTAGCAGCAGCCTCTTTCAGAGGAGAGGTGAGGCTCACCTGGATTATCGATTTGGGGAAGGGCTAGAAAAACTGCCAAGTGCTGTCCAGCAGAGTGTTGTCAAGTGAAAAGTGTGGTAATTATGGAGCTAAAAAGTGTGCACTTGCTTAAGCACAGGGACCTGTATGCCGGAGACAGAGCCCCGAGAGGGCTGGGGTGAGGCTGACATTTGGGAACTCTGCCCTCAGCGACTGAAGGCCTGGTTCTCTGGAACACCGCAAAGATGTGAGACCTTGGTGCCTCCTCACAGGGCTGGCTGGGGACCACTGCAGCCCTTTGGAAACTGGGAAGGACTCTGCCCAACTGGGCACACCCTGCTCTCTCTCAGCCTGGCCCACAGCACCCATGGCACCTGGACCGGCAAATCACGGGCCCCTTTGAAGCCATAACCCAGGAATTTCCTGAATCTCTCCTTGCGTTTATCGGTCCGTCCATCTTCCTTTCCATTTTTTCCATCCTCTCCTTACTTAGGACTCTCTGCTGCCCATCTGTTGCTAGCCCTCCACTCATCCATCTCTCCTTCCGCTCCTCTTTTCTTGTCTGTCCATCTCTCTTTCTGTCTCTGCGTCCTTCATGGTCGATTTCTCTAAACAGAGAAACATATGTATGTCCCCTCATATTCAGATCTATTAGATACAACTTAGATTTGCAATCCAGTGCCTGCTCAGGGGAAGCAGGATGGGCAAAGGGGGAAAGTGCCAACCTCGGATGCTCTGACCTATATCATTTAGACAGATACTTGGGGAAACAGAAATGCATATGGTTCTGCTCCTATCTTTCCATTTTTAAAAGATGCAGATTTGTAGAATGATAGCTATCGTCACAACCGCCCAGCCCTGGATCGAACCATCCAGTGGAGCGGCTGTGGCTACATCAATGGCTGTAGGGATCGCCCATCTCCTTTATGGAGAGCATCCAAAGCTGGCCTTTCAGGTTGTGCTTTCAATTGTGAACCACAATCAGGCCCATCAGGCTCTTCTTAGCCAGCCTGTTTTCTAAGAGACTCTGCCCTTGTTCAGAGGCCTGATGGGAAGGGGTCTAAGCAGCATGTTTGTGCCCTGTGATCTGTCTCAACACCTGACTGGCCCAGGGCTATGTACAGGACCCAAGCCGAGCCAGGCCAATTCTTTCTTCCAAGAATTTGAACCAAGAACCAGATATTGTGAAGGTTAGATCAGTGGTTCTCAAACATGCAAACAAACAAAGCATGCCTTAAAATCACCTGGAGAGAGTGATAAAACACAGACTGCTGGGCCTCATCTCCAGAATTTCTGTTTTGGCAGGTCCGGGATGGGGCCCGAAAATGTGCATTTCTAACAAGTTCCCTGCTGCTCCAGGTCCAGGCACACTCGGAGAAGAACTGAGGTAAGTAACGTTGAGCCCAGAAGTAGTCAGGTCGTGAAGACTCGTGGCCTGCCTAGCAACTCTGTGGCTAGCTAAGGTTGCTGGGTGGGGGCGCTGGAGGCTGGACCTGGGAGAGCTGCAGGAACAGGAAACCTTGGCCCCAGACAGAGAGAAGGCTGAGCAGGGCTCAAGGTCCCAAGCAGCTTCCTTGTGAGGTTTCCCTTCCTGGCAATCATATAGCCCCCACGTGAAGAACACTTTCAGAAGGCTGAAGCTGAGCATCTGAAACATACCTGAGGACGAGTGTGGTGGTCCAGCATGGTGAGCTGCACGTACGTCTGCAGTGTGAGGCCCCACCGACAGGCATCGCGGTACATCAGACCCTGCACAAGGGAGAACGCAGCATTTTACCTCAAAGAGCTCTAGCTGTAGGACTCTGGTCTCCTCAGTCACTGACAGGTTCTTGTGAAACCCATCCGGGGCTGCGGTGGGGCCAGGAATGAACCCAAAATGGTCACGGGGCCCTGAGGACAGAGTGGACAGGCACTAGGGCAGTGACAGGACAACGAAGTAATAGCTGTGACAGGAGCCTATGTAAAGTCCCCAGGGAACACTCACTTGGTCACTTAACAAGTGTTTGGGGAGCCCCCTGCAGTCACTCTTCCACCCAGCAGTCAACGTGCGCCTGAGAAACCTCAATCAGCTCTTGTTGCTCCTCTACTCACAACCTTCCAGTGGCTTCCCGTTGCATCCAGAGTGAAATCCAAAGCCCTTACCAGGGCCCACAGGGCCCTAGGAAATCACTTGCATCTTCTCTTGTCTCCTACCATCCTTCCTCTGACTCAATGTGCTTCCAACCACAGGAGCCTCCTGAGTGTTCCCCCAAACACCCAAGCATGACCCCACCTCAGGGCCTTTCATTTGCTGTGCCTTCTAAGAGAACACTCTTGCTCCGTTCTCTCCACTGCTCACTCCCTCCCTATGTTTAAGTCTGTGCTCCAATGTCACCTGAGCAGAAATGCCTTCCCCAGATATCTTATCCAAAAGATCAGCCCCATGCCCATCATTTTCTCTTGCCGGTACATATAAAACAGTCCATGTTCCATATTCCTCTTGCTAATAATCTTAAATTCTGCTCTTTTCCACATTTTTGCTTTTGTTTTTTTCTCTTGGTGCTAACAAATGAAATTCCAGCGCTCGCCTCAGAGACCCTTGGCCTCAGAACCTGAATATGCTGCCGTTTTCCATGTGTCTCCTTCCCTCTTCTCCTCCAGCCCAGGGAAGAGCCAGGAAAAGGCCTGTGCAGGGAGGAGGCGGGCTCTGGCACCAGCACCACCATTCCCTACACTTAGGCAGAAGCTGGCTGTGCATGCAGGAGACAACACACCCACCAGAGGATTATGACCGCGGACATTTCTCCACTTGGGCACTGGCTCCTGTAACACCTGCAAGAGAAGAAAACATCAGAGGTCCACCCTCAGGATGCCGGTCCCCAGGGTGGACCGAAAGAGCTGGGCAACCCTCTCTGCGAAGCCACAACTCCACCCAGACACGGCTTTCTCACAGGCTTTCCCAAAGTGACCTCAGAACGGTGTCTGTCCCTGCATGCAAGTCTGCACACATGCCACATTTCCGGCTGCCTCGGGAGCTCCCTGAGGGCAAGGCAGTTCTCCCCATCTCTCCTCCGTGTGTGCCATCTCAGCCCTGACTGTCCCCATGTGGGGCTGGGCAGACGGGGGCAGAAAAGGCAAGAAGGAAGCTACCTGAGGCACTTCCAGCCAGCTTCCCCGCTTGGGGGCTCTCCCATGACCCCAGCAATTGGCTCCCCCTGGTCTCTGCATTGGGCATGCTGACAGCTAAGAGTTACGATGCATTAGTTCACTTCCTAAACTGTGCCAGAGCCTCCCTGGGGTACAGGTATGTGCTGGAAAGGATTTAAATGGGGCTCTTGGGGCCAAGATTTTGAGAGTACCTGGATCCATCTGGGGACCTGAAAGTGCACGTAAGCAGGGTCTATAGGTCACAGAAGACCAAAGGAAAGAAATGCGTGGGACCCATGAAAAGTAACCTCCCCCAACCTTCCACACCTCTGTGCCTTTGCTCATACTGTTCCTTCTGCCCAGTATGTTCATGTCACCTCATTTCACATCAACTTCCATGGCATGGAAAACTCCTACACATCCTTCAAACTCCAGCTCAAATATCCATTCCTCTGTGAGTCATTCCCTGCCCCTCCCAAATGCCCTTTCTTTCTGGGTCTTAAGCACTCTGTTCCTGTCCCAAGTAGTATGTGTTGCCCCGCCCAGGCCACCAGAGGCTGGGCACAGGCAGCCTTCACCTGCGCCCAGCTAAGGCACGATCAGGCAACACTTAGAGAGAGAACTCACTGTGCCAGCCACCATGCTCAGCAAGAGCCAAACCACCTCGGTCCCTGCTTTTATGGAACTTTAAACTTGGGGCGCCTGGGTGGCTCAATCAGTTGAGCGTCCAACTCGGTTTCGGCTCAGGTCATGAACCCAGGATCCTGGAATTGAGCCCCACATGGAGCTGCGTGCTCAGCAGGGAGTCTACTCAAGATGCACGCGAGTGCACGCGCCCGCTCTCTCTCTCTCTCCCTCTGCCCCTCCCCCTACTCATGTGCCCACACAAGCTCTCTCCAACTCTCGCTAAAATAAAGAAATCTAGAAAAAAAAAAACTTATTGGGAGAAGTAGACCTTAATCAGATCATCACAGAAATCACATATTTTTAAGCCCCGAGAAGTAGAATAAAACAAGGTTACAGAGGGACCAGAAGAATCTACACCAAGAAGGGTAACCTAGCTGGGGAGGTCAAAGAGCACTGAGCTGAGATCCAAAAGCTAAGTGAGGTCTTCTGAAAGCCAACAAAGCTCTGTGTATTACAGAAAAACCAAACAAGGGTGTGGTCCCCCAGGGCTGGGGCTGGCTCCACCCCACACCAGCAGCCGGACCCTGGCCATTCATTTACCTCACTAAGCCCATTTCCTGCTCTGCAACCAAGGTAATAATTGTACCTACCTCACAGAGACGACTCTCATAAGGCCAAAATCAATTAGACAATAGAATGAAGCCTCAACATAGTGCCTGGCATACAGTATTACCCTCACTAGGTGCTGACTCTTGTTCTTGTGATTTGGTGGCACTCTATATGGCCTAAAGAGCCATATATAAGGACAGATATATCAGGAGTCCCTAAGACCCCTGCCTCCCCAGGTGTGATGACTCACCATAAGGACGCACAGGACACAGCCTAGAATGATATTCACAGCTAAGATTTGTTACAGGGAGAGGATACAAAACAAAATCGGCAAAAAAAAAAGGGGTGCACAGAGCAAAGTCTACGGGGAGACCAGGCACAAGTTTCCAAGGGGCCTCTTCCAGGGGAGTCACACCGGAAGCACTGAACTCCCCCAGCAGCAAGCTGTGACAACACGTGAGGTGGAGTCTACCGGGGAAGCTGGCCTGAGCCCAGCAGTTCAGGGTTTTTGTCAGAGTTCAGCCACATAGGCAGTCTCTGGCCGGCACATACAAAAATTCCAGACTCCCAGAAAGCAAGCAGGCGTCCAGAATAAACCATATTGTTTGCACAAACAGTTCAGACACAGAGAGCCATTTCTATGAGTTAAGAAATGGTGAACTCTCCCAAAATCTAAGTTCCCACACGCCAGCCAAGGGCTGACCTTGCACACAAGCCGCTCTGAAGACAGCAGCTTGGGCCTGCGAACTCTTTTCTGCACAAGCAAGACAAGGGCTACAGAACATTTATTCTTTTAATCAAACCATGTGTATATCTTTTTTAAAGATTTTATTTATTTTAGAGAGAGAGTTTGAAAGAGAGAGGAGGAGCAGAGGGAGAGGGACAAGCAGACTCCATGCTAAGCAAGGAGCCAACTCGGGGCTCAATCCCAGGACCCTGAGATCAGGACCTGAGCAGAAATCAAGAGCTGGATGCTTAACGGACTGTGCCACCCAGGCGCCCCTCAAACCATATTTATGTTTAATAGAAGTAAAAAGCAGGAAGGGAAAGAAGGAAAGAAAATACTTCTAAACATATGAAAACTGTAGGATCTAGAGTAACAAAAAAGAGACAGAAACAGAAAAAATTACACCACTAAACTCTTCCAGGAAGAAGAGTCAGGGTCTTAGTGTAGAGGCACTTCTCAAATATCTGTGAGGTTATTCTCAGTGACTGGGCTGTAAATAAACTAGAGATTATGTTAACTGGCTACCCATGGTAATATCCCCCGGCTTAGACACAAGTATCTCAGATGTAACACTATAATATTCCAGCCACTCTCAACATGTCTGTAGACCCCTCTAAACCAGACCTCAGGGAAGTCTATACCTGCACAGTCTAACACAGTGGCCATGAGCCACGTGTAGCTCTTACAAACTTCAAATGTGACTAGTCCAAATTGAGATATACCATAAGTATAAACTACATTCCAGATTTCAAAGACTTGGTATGAAAAACAGAATGCAAAATAGCTCATGGATGATTTTTATACTGATTACATGTTGACATGATAATATTTAGAATATACTATGTCAAATTAAATATTCTTTTTGGTTTGGTTTTTTTTTGTTTTTTAGCAAAACTGTTAGAAATTTCACATTATATATGTAGCTTGCATTTTATGTCTATGGGATACGGCTGGTCTACACCCTCTGTAAGTCACTCCATCGAGCTTTGACAGGTTCTCTCGAACCCCGTGTGAAGGCCGTACCTCAATGCCTGCTGTGTTGGAGAAGAACTCCAGGCACGTCGTCTTCCCACTTGCAATGTTGCCCTCAACACAGATCTAAGCAAAGACAAATGCCCATGAGAACCAAAAATCAAGCAGCTAGGGGAGTATCCCAGGGAACAATTTCTAGGGAAGGGCTCAGGTGAACAGCATAAGCAATTCAGTCCAAGACTGCAATGTGCACACAAAATTCCCACCACAGGAAATTTCCAAGGTCCCACCGTGAGCAGTAATAAACGATTCTCAGCTCCAGGCCCACCACTGATGGCCACTGAGCCACTGCCCTCCAGGGCAGACCCTCCCTTATGTCATCTCCTAGACCACACACAGCTTGCCACTGCCCACCCAACTCTGCCCTTCCCTAGCTCCACCCCTCAGACTATTAGATTTTAGGCCCAAGTGTCCTGCCTCCTTAACCAGAGCCTAGGGCTTTGAGGCTGGGAAGCATGTGTATGTTCCATAGTACCTCACTCACTGCTTTTACACAGAAAAACATGGACTGGAAAGTATTCGGACAGGAGAGGACTTAGTGGAGCACCCTGCTGCAGGCCAGGCCATAAGATGGGTAACGTTTACCAGTACCACATTCAACTTTGCCAGCTAAGTAGTGGGTCCCAACACTTTCACAGAAGAGAAAAATGAGGCTTGTAGGAGTGAATAAAGCAGGGAGGACAGTTTGAATCCACACTCTGTGCCTTCCAGTCTGTCCCAGCAGTGCCCCTCAACCCCACCCGTGGTCCACCACCACCATCTCTTCCCAAGAGGCAAACCAGATCACATCCGGTCAAGTCTTTCAGTGGCTCTGGGTGTTGGGATCTGTCTCCGGTCCCTCCTCACCAGCTCTCTGGGAACCAGCCGGAGCCTCGGGCCTGCAGGCTCTCTTCCTTCTATGACTCATATTTGTAGCTCCCTCTGCTCCCCTTTCCCTTTATCTCCCAGGAGGCTTGATGGATTGATGGTGACCAAAATGCTGCTCCCCACTATAGCCGGCTAAGGGCTCCCACATCTCCATGAACATGTCCAGTTTGGCCTTCAACCTCACACCAGCCCCAGTCCCGCCCCACGGCTGACTGATCTCAAAGTCGCTACTCTGGTTCAACCCATGTCTGTGGACCCCCATGGATTCTCGCAAATACCCTCACGCACCCACTAGTCTCAGCACTGGAGGCCAGAGGCGGCAGTCAGCAGACCTTCCCTCACAGCCAGGCTGCCACCCACTAACCCGAGGTGAAACCAACCTTCCCCACACAGATGAGGATTTTTTCAAATCCTTCTGTAATCATTCATCAAGCTGACAGTCCAAATCTACCTAAAGGCTTTGAATACATGTGTGCTCCTCGCTGTGCAGACTCTTGATAAGGACATACCAGAACCTGGTAACAGGTGGCCTCTGGGAAGGGGGTCTGAGCCCCAGCAGGGGAGACAGACTTCCTCATCCCTGAAGATCCTCTTATATTTTTGTTTTTTACTATGTGCACATATTCCCTCACTCCCTCAGCTCTTCCCCCTCTGTCTATATAATCCTCCCACTTTATTTATATATATATGTGTGTGTGTGTGTGTGTGTGTGTGTGTGTGTGTGTGTGTGTGTGTGTAATCCCACAGTGGGGAGTGCGCATAAAAAGAGGGACTTACCACTGATTTTTTCTCTTTTTCATTTTCTCTATCATTTTCTACAAAAGAAATGAAATCAATTTTTAAAGTCAGTTTTAAGTAATTCACTCTTCTTTGTCATAATTTTGGAAGCCACCACAAAAACAGAAATGTTTATGCTTACTCCCTGGCCTAAAAATATCTTCCAGTAACATCCGAGTCCCTCCATGGGTGGATGGAGGCAGACCCACCACTGCTGTCTACCTCCATGTGACGCTGTGCAGCTGCTGCCTGGGTCGGGGTGGCATCTCTGGGCCCCAACTCTGCTCAGCTTTTTTTTTTCCTTCCCCCGCTTAGTATACCACACTTTCCATTTTCCACACATTTCATATTTATGATCCTCACATATGGATCCAGCAAGTTAAAACCCTGGGCAGCCTCCACTGGGACCCCATGGCAAAGAGTGGGCGGCGGGCATGGGTTTTTCAGCCCAGGGCTGACACCCTCGGCCCACCCACCACAAAGGTGGTTCTGAGGCGCCACCCAACAGCCCGCGGCCAAAGAACTCTGTAACTTAGCTATTACGGTTCCCGTTTCTCCCAGTGGGAGCAGGAAGGCTAGAGCACCCACCACCCGCTGAGGACTGGTTAACTGCTGCTCCAGGGCCTCTGTCTCCCCCCAGGCCATGAAAATCGGACCTAGAGCGGGACCCGGAAGGGAGCAGCCCCCGCTCGCGGGGGGTGGGAGGGTCTTTCTCCTCCCTAGAGGGATCCCCACGGCCCCACCCGCTCGCGGCCCGCTGGCGTCCGGGGCCGCTGACAACGCCCGCCCTTGCCCCTCCATGGCCCCCGCAGTCGCCGCGACAAAATCCCGGCGCCTAGGAGTAGTTTCGGGTTCAGGCCGGAGGGCGGGGAGTGAGACCGGCGGCCGCTGAGCGCCAGGCGCCGGCCGCCAGAGATGGAACAGAGAGAGGCGTTACCGCGAGGCCAGGCCCGGCGATGAATCCCCCGCGTACCCCGCCCCGGGGCGGGGCTCCCAGGCCCCTCGCGCCGCAGCCCCCGGGCGGCCCAGCTCCGCAGCGGCCGCAGCAGCATAGCCCGGCGGGCGGATCCGACCGCCCGGCTTCCTTCCAGTGCGAGTCAACGCGACCTCAGCGCGCCGCCTCCGTCCCCGCGCAGGCGGCCGGGACGCCCGCTGGGGCCGCTCTCTTAAAGAGACCCTGTCGCATTTCACCGTCTCTCCGAGAGGGTAAGCAGTGCAAGGTCCGGGCTGAGCCGGTTGCAGCCAGGAAATCTTCCCGCTGACGGGACGCTGGCTGAATGAACCCCCGACTGGGCAAAGCTTGGGGGATGGATGGCCAAAAATACCTGCAACTGGTCAGTTAATTAATTATTGGAGATTACTTAATTAAGCACGTGTTCTAACCAGGCACCTGGCACACACTTAGGGTGTCATTTATTCTCCTCAACAATGCTGCAAGTAGATATTGTCACTCCCATAATCCTGATTATGAGCGAATCCTCCAAAACTTAGGTAACTTGTTTAAAATGATCAGAAGCATTCATTAAGAGGTGAAGCTGGAATTCAAGACATCTATCTTGCCTCACAGCCTGCACTCTTTCCTCTGAACTTTGACATTTCCGGGTCTAGACTGTAAACGTAGTAGGTGCCTCAAGAAAGTGTTAAAACATGGGCGCCTGGGTGGCTCAGTTGGTTAAGCGACTGCCTTCGGCTGGGGTCATGATCCTGGAGTCCCGGGATCGAGTCCCGCATCGAGTCCCGCGTCGAGTCCCGCGTCGAGTCCCGCATCGAGTCCCGCGTCGAGTCCCGCATCGAGTCCCGCATCGGGCTCCCCGCTCGGCGGGGACTCTGCTTCTCCCTCTGACCCTACCCCCCCCTCGTGTGCTCTCTCTCTCTCTCGTTCTTTCTCTCAAATAAATAAATAAAAATCTTAAAAAAAAAAAAAAAAAGGGCGCCTGGGTGGCTCAGTTGGTTAAGCGACTGTGACTGTCAGTTGGTTAAGCGACTGTCAGGTCACGATCCTGGAGTCCCGGGATCGAGTCCCACATCGGGCTCCCTGCCCAGCAGGGAGTCTGCTTCTCCCTCTGACCCTCTTCCCTCTCGTGCTCTCTATCTCTCATTCTCTCAAATAAATAAATAAATAAAATCTTTAAAAAAAAAAAAAGAAAGTGTTAAAACAAAAACAAAACAAAACACACACACACAGAAAAAAAAAAACACAGACAAGGGCCCAAAACGGAGTTGCTTATTTAAGCCCCACCCCACCAAACCAAGACTTAATTGTTTTGGCTCTCCCAGAAATGGAAACAGGCCAGTCCATCAGGAATATCCTGATCAACAGTGGTTAGGTAAAATCTGCTTGATAGACTCCTGCCATCCCCTAAAGCAAAGTAACCTTGCCACAAACACCCAGCTTCTTTGCCAGTGTAATTTCCTTGTTCCTGCTTCCTTTTGCCTATGAAAGTTTTTCCTTTTGTACGGCTCCTTGGAGAGCCGTATCTGCTACATTGGATGCTGCCCAAATCAAATCAATTTTTGCTCAAACTCTTAAAATGTTTAATATACCTCAGTTTATCTTTTTTTTTTAAAGATTCTATTCATTTATTTGACAGAGAGAGAGGGAACACAAGCAGGGGGAGTGGGAGAGGGAGAAGCAGGCTTCCCGTTGAGCAGGGAGCCCGATGAGGGGCTCCATCCCAGGACCCCGGGATCATGACCTGAGTCGAAGGCAGACGACGCTTAACAACTGAGCCACCCAGGCGCCCCACCTCAGTTTATCTTTTAACAAAGGCACAACTAATATTCCAACTAAACAGACAACTGGGGGTGGAAGGAGCAAGGAAGCCTGTAAATCTCATCCATAGGTAGCAAAAATTCAGCCCAGGTGTGAGGTAGACTGGTATATATAATTCAACAGGCCCAGGCCCTGAAACCTAAGCTGCTGCACTTAGAACTGTGTGGGCATGCCCATTCCAGGGCTTGGGTAGAGGGGTTTCCTACCTCTCCCAGGAGTGCAACATGCTAGCAGTCACCTCTAGGACAGAAAAGAGGAAGTCATTGGCAAGAGGGTTCACTCAGTCTCTAGATCTGCTATCAGAAAGCCGCAACCCCATCTAGTGCTTTCTGTATTACCTGCCACAAACACGCCCTCCATAAACTTCAGGATTAAGTTCAACGTTTTTCTGATTTGGGATGAGGCTGTTGGATCAGACTGTGATCCCCTGGGGGCAGGGACAGGGTATGAGGCCCAGGCCGTTGATTCAGACTGCACATATTATACATCTACTATGTGCCAGACCCTGGGAACCCTGCAGGGAGAGAAGCAAAGGCAGGTCCCTGCTTTTGTGCAATTTATATTTTTAAGATATATCAGCTAGTGATAAGTGAAGAGAAGGTGATGGTGGCTGCTCTAGCGGGGGTGTCCAAGGGAAA